AGAAAGATAATCAAGGATGAAGAAAGATAAACAAAACAATTCCTTACCAGATCAGGTCTCCCTCCAAAAAAAAAGGACCCTTTTAGGACCGTGGTCTCTAATAAGAATAAGATAAGAGATATTTGATATAATGGACCAGAGAAAAGTGGTCATAATTTGAGATGGTCTTTACTACTTGGAGGGGTATCTAATTAGTAGGAGACCTGTAATTGATTGTGATTATAGGATTAGGCCTATTTCTATGAGAATGCGTTAAAATCTTACATTGGTTTACCTCGCAAATCAAGTGGAGATATAGCTTGGCGATTAGGATGCTTGTCTTTCAATCCCATGATCCTGGGTTCAAATCCTATGTCGGTACAGGATTTTTCTCACGACTAAAAACATCTCCACTACGTAAGCCTTACAATGAGAATGAGTCGTCTTACTTTATGGAAAATAATAGTAATACTATTATTTCAATTTCGTTTATTGAAGAAGGTCATTTAATATCAGCTAATCTGGAAGGGTCATTCGCTATACAGTTAACAAAAAAGGGTAAAAAACATATTATGATGATACCTTGGCTTGGTTCCTAGATTGCAAACCACCAACCTTAATTTAGGATTTTGACGACCTCGCCCTCTCGATTTAAACTCACAGTTTATCCTTTCCCATTTTCTTCTTATGAAACAAAATATTATTACGGAACCTTCGGCACAATGAGTTTGTTGTACATGGGGCCCATGCAGTTATCAATATGGCAGCGGTGGCAGTTGGACAAAAAGAAGAAGAATGAGAGAAATAAAAAACAAGAACAGAATACAAAAATAAAGTAATGGTAAATATTACCTAACTGTAAATTAGATGAACAATACTAAAAGGTAACCGTAGTGTGTATTATCTGAACTGATCGATATGCAAAAGAATGAAAAAAGAAAAAAAAAAATCCCCGTTAGAAATGAAAGAAAAAAGAAATATATATTTTGATATCTAAGATGGTTGAAGCTTCTGCCCAGGTACAAATTGTGAGTCCTACCAGTAAAGTAATTTGTTTTGCATTTCTGTAGTGTTATAATATAATATAATATAATATAATATAATATAATATAATATAATATAATATAATATAATATAATATAATATAATATAATATAATATAATATCCTGTAACAAATCTGTCCCTGCAATTACCTTAGAAGATTTTTGCTTATCTCTCTCTAATCTGGTCAATCAATCCCATGGCCAACCATTAATTAGTTTTAGGAATAGGAGTAGTTTAGTCTCATTGTTATTATTGTTATTATGATTATTTTTATTTTATTTTATTGTTATTTGCTTTTTCTCAGTTGGCCTATATTTTTATTTCTCTGTAAACCGCATAGGGGCAATGTGCAATATGTGCTATATAAATATATTATTATTATTATTATTATTATTATTATTATTATTGTTATTATTATTATTATTATTATTATTATTATTATTATTATTATTATTATTATTATTATTATTATTATTATTATTATTATTATTATTATTATGTAGGCCTAGGTCAGGCCACAATAATTAGGTTCACATTCAGAATTTATCGTGAGTTCGTTTATCATGATGTTCTATATGAACCGGCGAAGAGAGTTCATCATGATCTTCTAGAGTCACGTTAAACCGCAACATCGTGAGTTCGCTTATCATGAAGAAGCATCAGGGTTTCGGTCCCAACATCATGATAAATTAATTCATAGGTCGAATTCAACCAATAAGCGCTCATGTTGAAATGGGTCACCGCTTAACTTTTATATCCGTTAGCGGGGTTTTTT